GCACGCCAAATGACCAAGGGCGGGAGTCTGGGATTTTAGAAGGGGTGAAAGCGGGGAGGAAAGTGGACATCACGTGGCCAGGTTCGAGGTGCTACTGTAACTGGGTGGTCCCTAGGAGAAGGGAAGTTCCAGGTTCCCTGCCCCACCCAGAAGGAGGGTGGAACTGAGCAGAGAAAAAGGAGAGAGAAGAGAGAAGGAAGACAGATGGAGAAGGAGACCTAAGGAAGCCACATGGAGCAGCAAGCATGTGAGGAAGAAACCGGGCTTGTTTCCTGACCCTGGACTGGTTAAGGCAGATGTGGGTGAGAGACCTGTAGGGAGGTGACTATGGCAGTGTTTATATTGATTTTGATTTTGCTCTTTTCCTCCCAGATTTGTCTGGCCATTTCTGACCCTTTTCCATGGGTCCCGGCCAGAAGGTGCTTTAGTCTTGTGGCAGCTTTCAGGCCTTGCTCTGGGCCAATCCCTTTTGGGTTGACTTTTGCCCACGAGGGGATGGGTAACTTCAGGTGTTTGATTTAGAAGTTACATTCTTTGTGTTCCATATTGTATATTCACTGTATTAAAGTCACTTTTCATTAAAGCTTTATATGTTTTGTCTTGTTGCAGCGGATGGCAGAACCCACTTAGAGCAGGCAGGTTTTGGGGCTTCAGGGGTGCCTCTCTCTGAATTGAGGTGCCCTATAACACTACTGGCGGCCTAGGGGACAGGAGTCAGGGTGCGACCTTCCCAGCAGTGTGTTCTCAGCAATCAGAAGATGTTTCTGAGGCCACTGTCAACCCGGGGGACCAGGAGAATTTTACTAGGATGTAACACAAGCAGGTGTGCAAGCTCCCAGGTGGAACCAGTTAGCAGCGGAGGACAGAGGGCTGCCATTGAGTGAGTTGACTGTTAATCCTGGAGAGGCAATGCAGCTCAGTGATTAGAGTTTAATCCAGTTTCTTCTTGAATTTTAGTCTAGAGAACTTTTTAAAAATATATATTTATTTTTACTTATGTATGCATATAAGACCTGCAAAGTAAGTCAGAAGTGTGGAGGGTAAGAGGACTCACCAGAGACAGAGCGGGGAGCAGAACAGGTGGATCTATTGAAACACACTGCTGAGGGGAGCAGCGGGGATACAGGGGAGGTCTGCTAGGCCATATGGGTCATACCCCCATTACCAGGGATTGAACTCATGCTACAGTGGCTGTGGACAGCTTCATGAGACTTAACCCGTTGCGCCACTAGGGTGGCCCTAGGAGGGGACTTTTTTATTGTTACAAAATGGAGAGAATTCTACTCCACTACCTTTTGAATACGAATGAGATATGTGGTCTCTGTAGGGGCCGTGCTCTGCTCTCCCTCTTGTTAATGTATCCCATGAAAATTACAGATGCAACTGGTAAAATTGGTCCTCTCTGGGAGGAGAACTGTAAGACTATAAGATGAAGAAGGAGACTTTCATGAATATTTAAAAGTTTGAATTACAAAATGAATTAAAATTGACAGGGTGTGGTGTGGGAGGGGTGTTGGAGGAAGAGACAAACAAGGGAGGAGGGCCGGGAGGAAGAGAGCTGGTTAGGTCCTAGTCACTGAGACCCCCAGCTGCCCCCAGCATCACCAATTCTGCGCCCTCTTCCTCAGCTGAGCCCTAGACCAGATCCGGCTCCTTGGGACAGAGTCACTTCACGTAGCTGTGCACACAGAAGCGGTCTTGCAACCTTCTGTGTCCAGAGGCTGGTCTCTTTCCTGACCCTGCCTTCTTATCTCAGCCCTTCCCCAACCAGTAATCAGAGCCATTCCTTTGAAGTTGCCTCTGTGTCTTCCCAGCCTCCACCCTCCCTGACTGTGTCACCAAGGTCAGCTGATAGCAAATAGGCCCTTTTTGTCCCCTTTAAAATCCTCCCCTCAGGCCCTCCCTGGTGGTGCAGTGGGTTAAAGCACAGCACAAAGAAGCTTAAGCCACTTCTGCAGGAGTTCAATCCCGGCCTGCCCCAGGGGTTACCCACATGGCGTGGCAGACCTCTCCTGACCCACCCACTGCTCCCCTCAGCAGTGTACTTCATCGATCTGCCTGTTCTGCTCCCTACTCTGTCTCTGGTGAAGCCTCTCACCCTCCGCATCTCTGGCCTGTACCCCAGTTCTGTACAAAAAATCTTTAAAAATAAAAAATAAAAGACAAAATAAAATCCTCCCCTCAAAGGCTGAGTGTCCTTTGCAGGCATAGCAATAACTCAAAGGGAGGTGAGGCCACTGGCGGGTCCCCAAGGAGGTGGGTAAAGGAACAAAACACCGAGCTGCCAGGCGTCAGCGAGTGGGCAGGGGTGGATCTGCAATGCTCAGGGTAACTTCAGTCCTGCTGTACCTGGGATGACTGAGGACTAAAGTGGTGGTGACTTGGGTATTGTGTAAGGGACGGGACCCCCAAGGCTCCTCCGGCCCTTGATTGCAGTGGCCAGGGAGGGTATGTCACTCTGAACTAAGGCAAACGTTGTGATATGTGACCACGGGTACCCAGACCCCCCATACTGTTAAGGGGAAAAGCCCATGTTGTATGTTCTAGGGGCCTGGCCATTTGTGTACGCATAGGCAAAGAAAGAAGCCTTCAACGATCGCTTTCACTGGGGTAAAAGTTCAAAGGGGGGAGAGAAAAAGGAGAACAATTTCGAATACCCGCGTCTGGATCAAACTCCAAAAATTACCCACCCATTTGCAGGCAAATGCTTATCCAACAGGCTCAGCCCAAAGTGGGGCACTGAGGCCTAAATGTTTACCATAAGTCTAAGGCACCTTCTGATGCGGAACCACAAGAAAGGGGTTCGGCAGGACTCAGAGAACTGCGAGACATGAAGCTTTGCCCTCTGCCTGCCCTGACTACCTGACCATGGTCTGCCCATGAGAATGCCATGTCCACCTTGGAATGGTGGTGGTGACAGTCCCTTGTGGCCATGGAGATAGCAGTGGAGGCCTGAAGACCCAGGAGTAGGAAGGGCTCCCCATTCCGTCTCCATTTCAGGACCCCTTCCAGAGCCTGGCAGTCTTGCACTAGTCCCTCCTCTCGCAAAGTCAAAGCTCAGAGCCCAGTCAGGTCAGAAAGTCCCATCTGAAAGGCAAATTCACCCTCAAGGCTTAATGGCAAAAAAATACACTGATGTGAGTGACCAGGCCAGAGCGGTTTTGGCAAATGCTTTTAACAATTCTTAAAACTTGTTTGGAAAGTGAGTTTTCTGTTCTTGCTGAAAGGTCCCTGACATGCTCCAGAATGATGCCACGTTAGCTGTGACATTCAATCCCAGCATTGATAAATCCACGGAGGTTGCCAGCTTCCAACCAAGTTTTTTCCCTGTGCAGATTCTTCAGTAGATGCTGCCACCACCCTTCAGGGCCTAATTCAGGCTCAGAGAAGTCACCATGCTCGAGGTTACAGCTGACAACTGGCAAGGCTCTTAACCCCACACCCCACCTAGCCACCCCAGGTTTGTCACTGGGCCCAAGATTAAACATAAGACATCTCCCTGAGCTGCCTTTATGCTGCCTCATCTATTCATGCTGCCTCCTCTCTTTAAGCCCCTGCTTGCTATAAACTCCTACCCTCCTGGCCATTTTCCATGCCTTCCAAATTTTAGAGGGTGTTAATTCAAAATAGGAATTCATAAATGGAGGCTTTAACCTGTCAAGTCTTGAATTGCTTCACTGACTCCCCCAGCCTGACAACTCAACCCCTCCTGTGCCCCCACACCATGGTAGCCATCTACCTGCCAGGGTTGTCTGTGGTTGTTTTTTTTTTTTTTTTTTAAGATTTATTTATTTGTGCATACAGAACTGGGGTACAGGCCAGAGGCTCAGGGGCGGCGAGAGGCCTCACCAGAGAGAGACAGAGTGGGGAGCAGAACAGGCAGATCGACAAAGTACACTGCTGAGGGGAGCAGCGGGCAGGTCAGGAGAGGTCTGCCACGCCATGTGGTCTCCTCTGGGGCAGGCGGTAATCGAACTCATGCGGAAGTGGCTTTAGCTTCTCAGTGCTGTGCTTTAACCCGCTGTGCCACCAGGGAGGGCCTGTTTGTAATGTTTTTTATAATTGTCTGTATATTGGGACCAAGGGTGTGTACATTTCCACACCCTTATCAGTATTACAGGTGTTCTGTCAACGTTATATACCGAATTGAGAAACCTTAGCTCTGGCCACTTCAACAAGAACTTCAAAGACCCTGCGGAGGTGATCAGGAGACCCTGTTGTCCTCTAGCTGAGACAGGTAGCTCTCAGGCCAGGACAGGAGCCGGGAGAAGCAGAGAGAACAGGATCAGGAAGTGGGCGGGGCAAAGCTAGCCCAGGCCCCGCAACCCAGCAGTCTGTCCCTGGGAAGTTTCCCTCTGCTTCTGCTCCTGCCCAACAAGATGTTCCTTTCCAAAAATGCTCACGATGCCTCTGAGAAGGAAGCATGGTACAGAACATGCCAGTACAGCCTTGAAGTGCTATAGAGCCCACGAGGCAAGCTTTGGGTAGATCTTTGTCCAGGACTCTTGGCTGGCCAGCCATGGACAAGTCTTTTAATCTTGCTAGTCTGTTTCCTTGACTACAAAATGAAGACCAGGCAGAAGCTTGGATTGTTTCCAACTCTAAAAGGAGGTGGGCTCATGTTACCCCTCTCTATAGAACAGGACAAATGGGGCATTTGTGAGCATCCTAGAACTCAGTTCTCCAAACCTGGTAAACAGGTGCTGGGGAAGCCTGAAGGAGGATGTCTCCCACTCAATGAGCAATAGAAGCTCAGGGAATAAAAAGCCCAGGCCTGGGAAGGAAGGCAGAGCTGTTTGGAGGGAAATGTTAGCGATCTTCACACCCACCCCAGGGTTCCAGCGACAGAAGTAACCCTCCTAGCTGGAGCCTGTAACAGCTAGAAACCTTATTCTACATGGGTTCTGGTCTTTGGAAGGGGGGCTGAGCTGCAGATTTTAGAAAGAGAGGGACGGGTCCCCACTGATGATACCAAACACAGCACAGCAACCACTGCCCATTAGAACATTTATTTCTCAGAGAGAAAATAAGTTTCAGACAGTCATATTATAGTAGGTAAAATTAACTTTTGTATTCTTTACAAGCATAGATTTTTCTCTGTTTATTACCTCTCTTATACCATCTGTTATAAACAATTCTAGAAAGCAAATAAAGTCACTTTCTACAATAAATAGAGCATCGTGTGCTTCACAGCAGACGCGACTGAGACACATAGGCCCCACGCCACAGCAGGATCTGAGTCGGTTCCCGTTCTAAAAGAGCAGTTTTAAAAATGAGACTCAGAGAGAGACAGAAAGATTCAAAGAGATGGGGGAAAAAAAGACTAAGAAAGTATTCAGAAAGTATTTTGGCGGGTGGGGCAGTAGAGGGAAGAGATTGACACAGAAAGAAAGAGAGAGAGAACGAGAGAGAGAGAGAGAGAGAGAGAGAGAGAGAGAGAGAGAGAGAGAGCCCCGAGATCTTACAACACAGGTTGAGACGAAGGTCATAGAGTCCACAGCCGACCAACTACCCAGGGAGGGGGGGCACACTGGCTCCTTTAAATAAACCACACTGTGCGCATTTAAAATACTCAGTCACACAATGGAGGACTCCAGTAATGGAAACTATAAGCCTGAATAATTTAGAACAGTATTTTACAATTATATACACCATGTCCTTCCCTAGCCATATGCGCTATTGTATTTGTATTATTGTACAAAATCCAAAACCTCATTCCTTTATGTTGAGTTTTGTTGGTTCCCTTTTAAACTCTGGCTCATGTCCCAAATGTATAAGAAGTGGTGGTGGTTGGCTGTATTTTTAAAAAGTTGAGTGTGTAAAAATGGCAGTGATTTCCCCCGTGACTTTGTTTTGTCCAAAACTCCCCTATGAAAATCTAAAATAATTAAAAAGAACATCAGGTTAAAAATCAACATGGCGATCAGTGGCCTGCAACCTGGCCCTGTGACTTTGGTGCATAAGAGGTGAAAAGAAACATCCAGAGAACAGACATGGAAGCCTCTGAAAGTTGTGTTGGTTTGTCAGTCAGCATTCCCTGTTTCACAGTTTTTTTTCCTTCCGTTTTTGAGAAGGTAAAGGTGGGGAAGGAGTTTGGGGAGAAGAGGGAAGGGGGCAGAGAATTAGAAGCAAAGCGCGGCATTCCCTGGTTTGGAAGCGGGCACAGTAGAGGCGAGGCGGGCAGGACGGGAGGATGGAGGGATGATGCTGGACTGTGGGCCCCACAGCATCTGCGGTGGTAGACGGTGAGACCGAAGCTGCAGTTCCACAAGACGAGAAGGGGGCAGACCCAATTAAAGGTCACGCGCCAACCCAACAACCCTCAGCATCCCAGTGGACAGACGGACACAGCCACGACCAGCCTCGTCTGCTAACAAGAGCAGGCCCAGCTTTAGGCTGTCTCTCAGCAAGACAGGGAGCGGGCAGGAGGGCCCAGCCTCAATCAAGGGGGTAAGCTCTCACAGCCAAGCTGCAGCCATGTGTCTGCAGCGGCTGGGTAAGCAGGGAAAGGGGCGTGCTGGTGGAGGGGTCACCCGAGCGGTAGGCTGGCCTCTGCCCCTGGCCGGGAGAAGCCAGGCGGAGGCACCCACCTAGCATAGCAGCTGGTCTCAAAGGGAATGAGACATAGAAAGAAACAAGGACTAACATGGGGATGGTTTCTGTCAGTTTGGCACAAGAGAAAGTATGGAAAGGAACATGGGCAGAGACCGAGCAGAGGTGCGGAGGATGGGCAGGACACGAAGTATGAATGGGTGACGGGTGGGAGCTCGGTGAGCTCTCCCACAGGACTGAGTGTACCCACAGCACCTCTGGGCTCAGTGTCAGAGCCTCGCTCGCTCGCTTGCCCTGAGGCATAGTTAGTTGGGAGCAGGGTAGGGCGGGCCAGACACCCCTTTGGGATAGAGCCCAGGGCCGTTGCCTCCTGAGGCCGATATACCTCTGGGGTAGGCCCAAATCTCACCACTGTTTCTACTTCTAACTGGTTCTTCAGTGAATTAGTCCCTAAGAGAGCTCAGGTGGGAGTTTTTGGCACACAGCAGGCCTGCCAGGAAAGCCATGCAGTGGGTCAAAACTAGGGGGGGGGGTGCCCTTGGCAAGGTCACAGCCCAGAGTCTGGCCTTCAGTGGAAGGGGAAGCTGCTATCCAGGCATCTGGCAGGAGGAGGCTTCTCCACGGCCCATGGAGAGAGGCAGGGCAGCAGAGGCAGGCCAGGCCCCCCTTACAGGTAGCTAGAGGTGACGAAGGAGTGGGGCCCCCGGACGCGGCTCAGGTGGATCATCGCCCGGTCGTAGGCCACCTGCACAGACTTGCGGATGCTTGTCTTGCGGCCTTCTAGCATCTTAAGCTTGTCCACTGTGTCTTCCACACCCAGAGGCAGGACTTTGTCTCTTGGGAGCCACTGCCTAAAATATAAGCATAGTAAAAGGTCTGGGCTGTGCTGAGTCCCACCAGGGGGTTCTTCCTGGCCCACCTGTCCTGGACCAGCAAGTCAGGGGGAGGGGACAGGTAAGACAGGAGCAGACTGACACAACACAGGCAGGAGGCCATTGAGGGGCCTGTTTTGTAACCAGGCGATTTCCTGGATCTCTCAGTGGCTCACTCTGCTTCGAGAGTTGTCAGAAGCCTAGAGGGCCATGTGCCACCCTCGGGGACCAGCTAAGTTATCTGGAGAACTCTAGGCCCTCCTATGGGGAACAGGGAGCTACAGTTCAGAAGTGGTGCTAACACCAAGCACTGATAAACTGATCTCTAGTGAGGCGTACAGCTTAAGTGTGGGTTTTTTTTTTTTAAGGTCCCCAGGTAAATCTAGGCTGGCTAGGAGCCAGTCTTTGGAGCTAGAGCTAAGGCTTTATCCCATTTCTGGCTATGGAGCCTTGACTTCCTGAGCCTCAGCTTCCTCACCTGCAGAAGAACTGGGTGGGGATTAATGAAGATTTAAATGAGGGCTAAATGTGCTCACCTGTAGAAGACAATCTGCATTAGGACACTAGTAAGCAATAAACGGTAGCTATTATTATCCCTATTATTTTTATGAGCTTGTCCTGCCTTCCCAGATTCTCTAGAAGCACAGGTAACAGAACTTACTGGTTGGTGCTAAGAGAAAAACTTAAGGTGTTCACAAACCACCCCCAGACTGAGATGCACACGCCCTTACTGCCTGGAGTACTGGCAGTTGAGAGGCTCCCATGGGACTACCAGAGGCACATCCACTACTCCTGAGACACCTACTGAGCACCCAGCTCCAGAGCTCCCCATGGAGGATCAGCCCCTGCAGCAAGTGCTGCAACGAGTTGCATCCCTCAGCCCCACAATGAAGTGTCCTGACACAACTCTGATCTCAGGAGTTGCCCAAGAAATCTGATCTGACACCCCTCCGTTTCCATTAGCCACACTAAGTTACTGCCAACACGGCTGGCAAGGGCAAGGGCGGGGGGCTGAGTCCAAAGCTCCTGGGTACCTCTCAAGGACATCGCCAGTGGCACAGCCTCCTGGTCAGCCTCTCAGCCTGTACCTGCACCCGACCTCCCTAGCAGTACCCAGCAGCAGTACCACTCACCAGGTGCGCTTGTTGTCAAAGAAGAGGACAAGGAAGAGCTTCTCTCCAGCCTCGGCCTGTCTCTGCTCTCCCAGCTTCAGCACATCCAGTGGGGGGACAGGGATGGGGACACCATTGTGCAGGAGGCCCTCCCGGGGCATCTTGGGATCGATGATCTGGAGGCAGAAGGGAGACAGCATTCAGCTGGGAGTGGACGGCTGAGTACGTGGCCCACCCCAGGGCCAGCAGCTGAACTCCCCCACACCAAGCTATGCAGGGTCCCGGCCCTGTCTAACACCAAGTGGTGATGAGCTGACCTCTTCCATGACCTTCAGTACCCCGAAATGGAAATCTTGACAGTTTCCCCAGTTCACTGTCCTAAACCTCTGGCTCTGCCCAGCCTAGTTTTCCAGTCAGGTAGCTTGTTCCATGAATTGTCAGACCCTAGAGCTGAAACAGAAGTAATGAGAAGCCAGCGGAACTGAGTCAGAACTGAGTGGGGTGCTGGTGATATCCAGGCCTGATGGTAAACTCCTTCCCGATGTCCCTTTGGGGGAAGGAATGGAGGCCATCTTTTCCCCCAATCAACTTCTCATTAGAATCTTTGCGATTCACTTCAAATGCTCAGGGCCCTTCCTTCACAGCACAGCTATGAAGAAGGTCTGCCTCAGCAGGAGAGCCCATCTCTGACTCTACCTATCACAGCCTCTGATCATCCGGTCTGACTATCACCTTTCCTGGAACATGAACCGGATACATCTGGGACACCACATGTTAAGATCCGTAAGAAGTCAGAAGACTGAGCTTGGAGGATCGCTGGAAGGGGAGAATGATTTGGCTGGCAACAACTGCATTTGGAGCAATCAATCCTCAAGGCTGCACGCTCCACAAGGCGAGGAAGCTCCACAATCTTGGTGGCACCAACACAACAGTAATTCTCTAAACCTATGCAGTACTGACAAAGTCACCAAAGCTCTTAATTATTCACCTACCATCATCTCACTTCATTCTCTTGCTGATGCTGAGACGTCTGCAACAGGCCTTTCCTGACAGAAGAAAATGCCTAGCACAGAAGGAAGGAGTTGGCTGAGCCCAAGGCTGGGACTAAAAACCAGGCATCGGGATAAGGCGTAGGCCTCTGCTGCCTCCCACGCCGCCGACCGATGATAATCTCTGTGCACTAAGGCCAGAGACACTTGGGAATTACTGAGGAAGCATTTTTCTCCAGAGACAGTGCAATCTTAATTCCTACACCCTGTCCCAGGGGGCCTCTTCTCATAATGAACCGCTCTCATTGTTTTACTTTGGGTGTGTGCCAGCTCCCCTACTTCCCTCCTGGGAGGAAAGCGGGTGTTCTGGCTAAGGGGTGTTCTGGCTAAGGATTTACGGAACCGCCACCCCTACCCAGCTCCCAGCTGTGAGTTTTGGTTAACTCTTCTCTCCAGCCCCTGTCCCTCCTGTGACTGAGCTGAGCTCTGCTGAGGGCCACCACAGCAGCTCCCTGCGTTTCCTCAGTTACTTAACAGGAATTACTGAACAAGAACAATTACTGAGCAAGACAGTGAAGATACGTTGCCACGTTTCCTCTTGGCTGAGCCAGGAGAGTTTCCTGCCTCAGAAAGGAGGGTAGACCGTGAAAACTGCGCTTGCTCTTCCCTCCTACCCCTCCCCCACCAAAGACAACCAGGTGAGTGCTCCTGAAGGAGACCTCTACGCACTTTAAAGAGGACAGAGACCAATGCGCCCTAAAATAATACACAATTGTCCATTCACTCAATGAATGTTATGCAGATGTAAAACATGGAAAATAAAGTTTGCAATAAAATTTAATATGTAATAAATGCATACAGACACTTAACGACAGCTAAGTATATAAACAATGAATAGAAGGAAGGATGCACAATGCTTACAACTGACATTAGAAAAGTGAAGTTTGTGTTGCTTTTCTCTATTTTCCCAAAACTTCTATAATTTAGATACATGACTGCCAAAGAAAACAAAACATTTTTTTTAAAAAAGAAAAACAGACTAAAATCTGTGTATTCATTGTGAGTGCAAATGCGTATCTAAGTATGCATAGGAAAACAATCAGGACAGCATAAACCAAATAAAGGTAAAACAGCTTGTATTCTGGTTTTAATTACAGTTCTTAAATCACAAAATATATATTTTACATGATCATCAAAAAGGGAAAAAACAACAACAAACTAGCTTCAGACAGGCTCTCTTGCTCTGTAAGAGTTTAAAAAACCGGGCCCTCCCTGGTGGCGCAGAGAGTTGGGATGCAGCACTGCAAGCTGGCGGCAGCCATCTCAGCGCGAGTTTGATCAGTGGACCCAGAGGTGACCCTCAGGGCACAGCAGACCTCTCCTGTCTCACCTGCTGCTCCCCTCAGCAGTGCACTTTGTTGATCTGCCTGCTCTGCTCCCTACTCTGTCTCTCGTGAATCCTCTCACCCCCATGCCTCTGGCTTGTACTCCAGCTCCTCCAGCTCTGTATGCATTATGCATAAATAAATAAATCTTTTAATTACAAAAAAAAAAAGAGAGAGAGAGTTTAAAAAAATCAAAGCTAAGACCTGCAAGCCTCAGTCACTTCCTCGGTGCCAGCCCAGGCAGGCAGGAGTCTCACTGACTGACCGGCAGTGGAGCCTGATGACGGCCCTGCAGCCAGCACCTGCTGGGTCACAGCACAGATTTCCACACTGGCTGAGGAAGGAGTGAAGCTGGCTGAACAGAAAGGCTCTGGCAAGCTACAGCATTCTTCATCAGTCCAGAAAGGATTAAGAGTCCCTGCCTGCCTAACCTGAAAGGCTGCCAGCAGACTTGGAAGAACCAGACATGGAGGAAAGGGAAGAAGCCAGGGCTGTGTACATGCATATGGTTAATGGGGCAGTTCTCAAATGTGGTCACTTATCACCCAGAAGCCTTGAAAACATATTCATGCCTCGCTCTGGCCACAGTAAGTCTGATGGGGACTCAGTATCTATATTTCCCCAGATGCTCCTGACATGTCCCAAAGGTTTGAATCAGCATCTTCCAAGACCAGATGGACATTACCTTCCCAATACAGAAAGAGCTCTAAGAAATGACCCTCAAGAGGATAAAAACAGAATTCTTAGCTACTACTACTACTACTACTATTACTACTACTATGGAAAAATGGAAATTTTAGCTACTATGGGTGGAAGTATAAACTGGAACTAAGTTTCCAAAGCGCAACTTAGTGATTTGTGTCAGAATTTTGCAAAGCCTTTGCCCCAAGAATGGACTCCTAGAATTCACGGTCAAGAAATAATCATGGATGTGCACAGAGGTAATGCTACCATGTTGACTACTGGCTGTTTAATTATATGAGAGAAACCATCCGGTATTTTTCCTTTTCTTTCTGGTTTATTTCACTAAGCATGATCTTTTCCAGTTCCATCCAGGCTGCTGCAAAAGACATGTGTTTATCTTTTTTGGTTGCTGAGTAATATTCTATTGTGTATATGTACCATATCTTTTTAGTCCAGTCATCCATTTTTGGGCATTTGTCTTTCCAATTGTGAATAATGGCTGTTTAATTATAATGAAAATTTCAGGACAACCAATTAGAGAATGGTAAAAATAAGGTAGATATAAGCAGGTGGACACAACTCAGTCATTAAAGTAATGTTGAAGAATGTTTAATGGCATTCAACATGCATGTTCATGGTACGCTGTTATGTGAAAGGAAAGTTAAGAGTGTTGTCTCATGTCTATGCACATCTCTGCATTAAACAAACAAACAAACAAGCTGAGTAGATATACACCAAGAGGTTATCTCTGAATAGACTAGATGGGACTGTGGGTGATCCTGAACACAGGTTTTGACACCAGACTTTTTGAAAAGCCCTGGGTTCCAATTCCAACCCTGTCGCTTACAGCTAGATGCCATGGGTAACAGTCTTACTTTTCTTCCCTACAAAATGAGAATAACCACACCTTCCTTAGTATTTAAAGAATGTAGGAGGACAGATGTTTAATAAAACGTCTAAGCCTTATTTGCAGTGTTTAGAATTCTCTGCAAAGAGTACATAGCACTTGCATGCATAAGCAAATAAATAAATGCTATTAGATGCCTAAGAGCTGTGGTCTCTGTCTACAGTCTTTAGCCTATTGGAAGTACCCCAAAGCTGGGAATCTTGCTAGTCTGACCCACCCAGGCTAGCTTGAAACCTCCCTCCCTTTTGTAGTCAAAGGCACCAGGACCCCCACCACACTCTGCTGGCTTGATCCAATCAGATAAGCCCCCGAGGCAAGGCAGGGTCAAAACCGCCCAGAGAGAGGAGGGTGGCGTCTGGGGCACTCACCAAGGCAGGGTAGGAAGGATAGCCTCGGCACTTGGCCCACACCAGCTCCAGGGGCTCCAGGTCTCCGCGGTCTTCAAAGGGCATCAGGAGGCTTCTGCCTGGGGGTGGGGGAGGGGAGGAGACAGTGCCCAAAGGGGACTTGGAATGGTGCCCAGAAGGCCTGCCTGTGGCCTCCATTTAACTGGGGCAGCCCAGGACTGAGTCAGCAACATCCCCTCCACCCTTCTTCTTCCCTGCCCTTTCCTTAGAAGTTCTTAGGCTAGATCAGAGGTTGGCAAACTTGTTCTATAAAGGGCCAAATAGCAAATACTTTAGGTTTTATAAGCCACATGGTCTCTGTTGCAACAAGTGCTGTGCATTGGTATCTGGAGAGAATTGGTTTGAAGACCCTACCAGACACCAAATTTTGCCATGATTAAGTACTTTATACCAAATGGCACAGTATTTGCATATAACATCCTATACGTTCTCCTGGATGATTCAAATAATCTCTCTACATCTATATATATTACAACCCTAACATAATACAAATGCTATGTAAGTACTTTCACGTACTCTATTGTTTAGAGAATACTGACAAGAAAAAAGCTTTGCTCACGTGCGGTACATGTTCAAGTTCAGACCTACCAACAGACTTTACACTGTTGTATAAGGTTGGCTGCATCCAGATGCAGACCCGCTGAGACAGAAGGCCAGCTGTACTCAAGTCTGCTGCTGTAGCATGAAAGCAGCCATAGATAACCCATAAATGAATAATCATGTTGTGTCCCAATACAACTATATTTTTAGACACGAAAATTTGAATCGCACAGAACTTTCATGTGAGAAGTTTCACATAAAATATAGCTCTTTTGGTTTTATTTTTATCATTTGAAAATTTAAACACCATTCTTAGCTTATGGGCCCTACAAAAAGTCAACGGGCTAGAGTTTGCCGACCTCTGGACTAGAACCCTAAAATGGTGTTCCTTGGAAAAGTGTACTGCACCGTCGGCAGGGCTTCATGGAGAAGGACCTTAACCCAACCTGGCCAAGCCACAGCCTACTCTCCGGGCCTCCCTGCGCAGGGAAACCTCACGATGGAGGCTTCAGGGGGAAAGATGTCTGGGAAGAACATCCCAGTGAAACCACTAGCTAAATAAAGTATTTCCTGACAGGACCACACCGGGTCATCAGGTTCCTCGATGCACAGCACTCAGCAGAGCCAAGCAGGTCTGCAGGTTCCTCACAAGCCTGCTCTCTGTCAGAACCTTACACTATATGTCCCACTGGAGGCAGGCACTTCTCCTTTCAGCTTATTCTGTTCTGCACCCAGTGTATAGGTGCACACAGGTATAGGTGCTTCATAAATGCTTCTGAGCATACAGGAACACCTGCCTTTTCTTCCTGTCTATAAACTGGGAATGGGGACATGATCACTCAGTCGAGGAAAATGGCCCAGATCTGAGAGTAGAAGTCATGTTTCTAAGGTAACATTACTACTCTCATTTATAATTAAAAAAAAAAAAACTAAATTAATAATGAGGTATTGTTTTATGCCTATTAAGTTGTTAGTGGTAACAATAAAAAGGGGAAAAAAATCCAATACCAAAGAGGCAGGCAGTGGAGGACTAAGGTTGAGGAAATTACAGATCAGTCCTAGCCTTTCAGAATATAATTTGGCAGTATGTCTCAAGAGCCATAAAGCAATGTATGAACCATCTACTCTAGTAAATTCCTTCCGTGGGAATTTATTCTATTAAAAATAACTTTAATGTCTAATGGCAGAATGATTAAGTAAATCATAATACATTGATTAGAAGATATATTGTTCCAGTAACATAAGCTATATAAAGGTCATATGTCAACATGAAAAAAATGTATGAGAACACGGAATAAAGGAGAATATGAAAGTGCAAGTGTTTTGGATTAGAGTATTGTTAAAATGTGCCTGAAATAAACAAAAGGCATATACAGAGAAATGAAGACAGCTGTGTTAACGTGACGGGACAGTGGGCGGTCAATTCCCTTTAGCATAATTCTAGTGAGTGCATGGTTTTAAAGATAAGGGGAAAATGTACTGGCACAAAGAATGTGTCCCGATCTGCTTCTGGCTGTGTGCAAGATGTTGTGCAGACTCACCTAGACATGAAGCCCACACCCTGGGCACTGATCGTCAGATAGTAATGAAACACACATTCGTGAACACACATCCAACAAAGAAACTGCTGTTAAGGGGAAATAACACAACTGAACAAGGTGAAGGGGGGAAGAGGCGCCCTAAGCCTATGAAGCGTGTGTGAGCTGGAAGCGCCAAAGATGGGGCATCCAGAGTGCACACCCGCCTAGGGGGCTCCACACAGGGCTGGCAGCGAACAGCCTGCTCTGCACCGGCTCCACCTCACACCTCCCGTCTTTCCCTTGACCCAGGGAGGCAAGATCCACGTCAATCTACCATCTGGATCGGATGTGGCAGAACATCTCATGAGGAGAAGGCTGAAAGCACTGGGCTGCGTGACATGACGGGGTTATGTGGGAGCTTCTGTGCTACAGGCCATCACTGCCTGTTCCGGTGAGGGCAGACTGGCAGTCAAAATCTATCAACATACACACTTCCTTCAATACAACAACCCCACCTCTGTACTCCCCACGGACACAAAGTGATCTCGGTACCGGGTTGCTCAGTGCAATCTGATTATAACAAATAAATGAAAACAATCTAAGCACCCATCTGCAGTGGGCTGGCTAAGTAAATGATGCTACTCCTATGGAATGCATGGGGCACCACAACCAACCAAGCACAGATGCTCTCCACGACCTATTAATATAACTGAAAAATGGCACGGTTTAGAGGAGGGCAAATCTTAGACTTCACTGCTCATTCTCGTCAATATACACACGAATTTTAGCTTGTGTATGTTGGATTACATCTGGAACGACACAAAAGAAACAGCTAGTCATGGCTGTTCCATGGAGCCAAGTGCTGGCTTTCCATTATTGTATTTTTTGACCTTTGTTACCGTGGGCATGCGTTATCTATTCAAATTTCAGATGTATTTTTTAAAAGTATGAATGGCATGGGAGCGTCTTTTCCCTGCCCAAGAGATGGAGCAGCTCAGGGGCTGGCTTTGGAAGGCCTCGTCACACCCCCACTCTCCTGCCTTCCCAGATCCACCAGCACACCCCTTCTCACCTGAGCTGTTGTAGTCAGAATCTCCATTCACACCTTCCAGGAAGGGCACTCGAGACAAAGCTGGCTTCCCACGGCTACGTTTAGGAGGTGTCAGACCACTGCATACAGAACAGGGCAGGAAGAGAGGGGCAAAATGAGCAACTTCAGTGACTTCACGCCTAGGCCTGCTCTCCCATACCTGACAGTAGCAGAGCTGCTAATGTCCTTTAAGAAGGATGGTTCCTCGTTTCCCCCTAAGAAGTCATACTGACCACAAAGTTGCTACGAGGCTTTGAGAAACCATTTCACCCACATGGCAGGACTGAATCTGGAAGCAGCACTCTGTCTTCCCTGAGCCCTTGGGACTCAGCCCCAGCACTCTTCAGTCCTTCCAGAGTCTGAGATGTACGGCCATGAGGTGGTGTGCTAGCTAACATCTGCCCAGAATTCTGCTCCGTGGTTCACACTGCTGCTTCTTCGGAAACCAATTTATTTTTGAAGTACAAAAATCTTGCCTCTTTCCCAATTTTTCTATAAAGAACTTGTCTTATTTCTTTAATTAGAAAAGACATTTTTACACTTAAAAAAAAACCCACTTCTCACTTCCACTTTGTGTGTGAAGTTTTTCTTAGACAGAGATGGATTTTTTTTTTTTTTAAGTAACAAACAGAACAATGTTTTTATAAGGCTACTGCAGGGAAGTAAAACAAATATATATGAGACAAGAACTAGATAGTAATAAGCACAATAAACAAGATAGTAACACCAGAGTAACGGTCTAACGGGACCTGGTTCAGGCATCGGTATTTTTAAACAGCTCCTAATACAATTCTAATCTACAGTCATAGATGGGAATGGGAGCCCTCTAAGCATGAACAATGTGGTTGGGTGCTCTTTTCATCCAAGTTTTGAAGTATCACTGCTATGTAATTTTTTCAAGTAAAAAAAAAAATGCTTAAAAGGCAGCTCAGCAATCTGCAATAAAGCAAAAAATGCTTAAGAAGCTCTTGGTGGGGTTAAGAAGCCAGGGTCAGGGCTGGCTGGAGAGCAGGGGGCTCTGTTTTACTGAATCACAGCTGACTGTACCATGTTGCTGTACAGATAACGTGGCACAACCAGAACCCAAAGAAAATGAATCATAGCCCTTCAGTATCCAGTAGATTGGTAACTTTCTTCTAGTCAAAATTAGGATTTATGTGGGAAAGTACAAATAACACCCACTTATATCCTTATATTTAAGATTCAATTCCCACTTACCCCACTAAAATCTGTTATGTGGCCTTGAGACTCTGAGGCTGTTTACAAAAGGTGCTAATATTTTTACAAGGAAAACCTCTCAAAATTTATACCAGGGATCTGGAAAAACAGTTTCAAGTATTAGAGAAAAGGGCACAGCTGGCTAACAATCTCTGAAGCCAGAATACCTGGGTTCAGAACCTGGCTCTTCCACCCATTAGTTCATTCTGTGACTCTGAGCAAGTCCCTTTACGCCTTGAGTATGTGTCCCTCCCCATGGTGGGTGTGTAGACTCAATGGACCAGAGGCAGAAAACAGTCAGTACAGCACGTACCAAGGACTCAGTAAACGACAACTGCATATTCACTGTTATTATATGAAGGGCAGTTAATTTTAATGTTCCACTTTAAAAATTACAAGCTAGTGTTGTATTATCAAATGAAGAGCTGAATATAACACCAAAACTGTCTGTGCATCCCTGTTTCGGAGAAAAAAGCGTGGCTGATATGATCATGGCTTGTATTTCAGTCCTCTTCCTAGATACCCCGGCCAATATACACTTCTTTTGATTTCATCTCTAGCCTCTAGAAGACAAGCTCCATGAGAACAGGCCCCTGAAGAGTGCCTGACTCAGAGAAGGTGCTCGATAATTAATGACTGACTGACCCACAATCCTAAACGGCTCAGAAAAATCATCTGAAGACGTCAGTCAAGGGGCAGGTGCAGAGGGGCCAGAACTCATGATCAGACTTTCTTTCAAGGTTCTTTTTAACTCCTGGATTACAATTCCAGTCCAATTAATATCTGTATGTACTTAAACCACTGCAGTGTAGGAGGAAAAAATGCAAAAGGAAAAGCAAAACAAAACCTATAGTCCGAACCCCTGAAACTCCCATTTTAAATCCTGGATTTCTGCTAAGAACCACCAAATTGAAGAGGAGATGCCCTCAAGGGTACTGTTCCAACATCGAGCAGGGCCCAGAGAAACCAGTGCCACTGGACTAGAATTCTGCAGGGAGGTAAACAAAGAGCCTGAGTCGGAAGTTACCCAGTACCTGGTCTGTCCTGTTTCCGATGGCTCATAGCCTTAAGGGCATTCTTTATGGAAGAAAATGCCCAACACACCTTCCCCCTTTATTCAGGAGCAGGAAGGGGTAGCTGGTAGTCCCATTCGCAAAAAACTGGGTTTCCTGGCACCCTACCTTTGAAAAAAGCCAGGAACCCTGACCCAGGACCATGTGGAAGCACCTTCTAAGATTCTAAAGGCTTCTTTTCCCTGCCTGCTCGTTTCCTGGCCAGACTCCTGCTCTCTCTAGAGACAGCAGCATTGAGGGAGAAAGCAAGGCAGTGCTGAGGCAGAGTAGGGAGGAAGGGCTCCAAAGAACCACTGACAGCTGTTCTCTGGAGGGACTAAAGAGCAGTGGTGACCTCCTGCAGCTCCTGCAGCCAGAGCAGAGTGAGAAGTTAACAGAGCACACACCCCACCTACCTTGCAAGTGCTTCAGATAGTCTTTGGTGCTGCCTGACACTTTTCTCCTCTCTTCTGAACCCTGCAGCCATCCAGCAGTCATGTGGAAGGACCAAGAGGTCACTCTGAAGCTTAAGTTTTTTCCCTATGTGAAAATGGGCCTCCCATTTCCAAAAGTCCCATACTCCCTGGAGTCTTACAGAAATCAGAGCAGGGATTCCACAGACTCTTGGACTCAGAAGGAAGGTCTAAGGCTCTGATTTCAGAAATCCTGCCTTCGAGTAAAAGAATGGGAAAAGAAAAGCCTCCCTTTTCAGCTCAAGGATGAGGAGCTGGTGTCTTTTTATATGAATAAAAGGCTATTTTGTCTTTTATTACTTCTTCATTTCTCATACCTACTCCACACCTGTAAAAAGACCATTGCTAAGAGATGCCAAAAGGCCAGGGTGAAACCAAGCCTGTAACAAGCTGGGTTACCTAAGTGCGCTGGGGGGCTGGCTCACATGTTAACTTCACCAGGCCAGAGACCTGGCTGTCCCTCCCTCAGGGACCAAATTCAGCTCCACAAACCCTGGGAAGCATTAGCACCGCTCCTGGCCTTCCGGTCAGAGCAGACCTGACAGTCAAGGTCACACAGTTTCCTAGGCGCCACCAGAGTTACAGGCCAGAGCCTCAGGAGGTAAGTGTGGGGGAAGAAAATAAAAACCAAGATAAGCAGAAGAGGCTCAATCCGTAGCTGAACTGAAAATACAGATAGAGCTGCCAACAAAACTTTGGGGATAAGTGTTCTTACCTGCAAGCTTCAAATGCCAGGCCACCACTGAGACCCAAACTACATTCCGAGTCAGACCCGCTTTCTGTGTGTTTTCCAAAGCCATTGGTCACTCCTGCCAAGGACACACAGAGTGAGTCTGATGTAGAAACCTTCCTCTACCTATGCTGCACTGACGCAGCCCGCCGCCCCACCTCAGTGAGGTGGTGTGCCCCTTGGGGGAGAAGGCTAGTCTTTTCCTGGTGGGAAGTGGGTCTTGGGTATTGAGAGAAAATGTGGTAATGGTATGGGGAAAATCCTATTGGCTACGGCAGTGAACAGATAATGCACTCCCCCCCCCCCCCCCCGCCAACCCCTTGGTATGACATTAAGGAAAACACAACACAGAGTTACTGACATTTAGCAGGAAGGGAAATACTAAGACTTCTCTAGTACCACCAGCTCTCAAGTGTCTGAATCTGCTTCTAATTTCAAGTCTCAATTATCAGGGAGTCTCCTCTGCGCCTTGGGGAGCCCACCCACCTTGCCTCTTCAGATAAACACTCACAACCCAATCTATCACACTGCCAGCAACAGCTAGCTTCATTCTTTTAAGATGGTGTCAGGGGAGGTTGGGGCAGGATAAAGGCCATGTCAACCACACCCTGAGATAATCTAGCAGGGCTGGTCAGAACTGAGAATTAGGGGCACGGGGGAGGAGGTTGGGGAGGACTCAGTAGAACTGAAGCCCTCAAGACTACCCTGGGGTGAGAGTCAAAATTCCCAGGATTCTAGACTGGACTCTGATATACAAGCCCCTTTTGCTCTGTACACGCTGGCTTCTCATTTTGTGAGGGGAAGACAATACCTTCTCACTTGTGGAAGACACTATTAAGTATGAATGAGAGAAGGTCTATTTACAGCAGAAAGCCCTTCAGAGGCAAACGAAGGCTGTCTGGTCACCCTAGGAACATGATTCTAAATTGCTGTGAAGGTTCAACTCTCCTTTCCACCAATCCAATTCTTTACTACAATCCAGAGTCATGGAAGCCTGAGCATTAAGCCAATAACTCTAAGTCATAGACACCTTGGCCAGAAAACTATGAGGCAAGTCACACCTGTAAGAGCACTGATCCAAGACAAGATACCTGCTGACCTGGTTGTGCATCGAACATGACCTCAACTTTAACTGCCAGTGCCAGCTGTGCCTCGGGTGCCTCATCTGTAAAGTATCAATATCTGTTTTTGTGAGCTTCTTTAAGGCTGTGTGGTGTCACAGAGCTGGCACGCTGTGGGGAGGAACAGATTCTAGCAGTATCTTTAAGCAATAGGCTCTCAGGCTAGATGAGGCCTATTTCCTGATTGCAGGATTTTTCATTTTCAGTAGAGTGTTCTCAATACTGCTTTGACTGTGCCTGATATAGGTCACAGATGACAAGAACTGTTACCATCTATTGCTCTGTGTCAAATGCTTAGAGCCTCACAGGTAGGTATCACTAGGCCCATTATTAGGAATTGGTAACCAGGATCAGAGAGGTTAACTAATTTGCCCACAATACACAGCTGGTAGAGGAAAGGATTTGAACTCAAGTTTGCCTGACTAGGTCTTTTGATTGTATATACCAACCTACTGCCCAAATACAGTGAAGCTTGGACCAGATGGGAAGAGAAGGCACTCCTGGAAACAAAGTGTTAGGCAGAAAGAGAGAAAAGCAAGTGCTGGACAGGGAGTCCAAAGTCACTACATAAAAGGCCAAGAGAGGAAAACGAGGAGCAAAAGCCAAGAGGCCCCTCCCTGCCGAGCAAGCTGGTCTTCCTTATCTCACCAAGATTAAACTATTATGTCTGCCAGTGGAGGCCCTGTACTCCCAAGTCCATCCAGCCTTGGCTCCAGATACTCCAGAAAGCCCCTCTTCAAACTGCCCCTCACAGGGACTGTCCTTGTTCCCACACGGGGCCTGGGCCGTTCAACCCAACTACTCCTTTCTAGTCTGCCTTCATCCCTAGGGCCAGGGAGACACTGTCTCCTCAAAAGGCTTTCCTAGCTCCAGCTCGTCGGCCCTTACCACCACCAACACTGCTGTCACAGTGTCCTGACCCAGAGCCACAGGCGATGTAGCACTGTGACATCTCTGCACCTTGGGAGACCAACTAGTCACCCCACTGGACTATGAGCTCTTCCCCAGCTGGAACTGCATCTGATTTGTTACCTAATAGTGACCAGCTGGTGCTGGACAACAGCACCAAGAACAGCACCAAGTTGACTAAACCCCAACTACCTAGCTCAGGGCCTCATTTATCACCTCCTGTGTCCCTCAGACATGCTAGCACAGTCCCACCCCAAGGCCTGGGCACGTGTCTATCCTCTTCCTGCAAACAAACAAATAGCTCCTATCTTCAACTTCTTCAGATCTTTACTCAAATATCACCTCCTCAGAGGTCCTTCCTGGCCTTCCTTCTCTATTCACATCCCAGTACCCCCTCATCCCTTCTCTACTGGATCTTTCTCCACAGCCTCCAATGCAAGAAACATTTTACTTATTATACTCATTTGCTTTTAGTATACCTCCCCTATAAGAGACAAGACTTAAGTCTGTTTTGTTCATTGATTTTCCTCTCCCAGGGCCTAAAATAAATGCCATATATATAAATGAAGAAGTTAACTAAAGTGAAGGTTCGGGACCATTTATCATATACAGCTTTACATTCTCCTCAGGACCAAAGAAAGCCCTAGAAACAAGCGGTTGTCTCAAAACACTTGTTCAAAGCCTATTTTCCCCAGGCTACACCACTCAGTGTGCCAGACCCAACTGTGAGCTATGGAATCCTTAACCTAGTATTGGTTATCCACAGGGTCCATTAGGGAGGTGGCCCACTGCGGGAGATGCTGGCTGGTACAGCAAAGCAAGAAAGCAGATGAGAAGTAGCAAAAGAAGCCACAGGTAGGGTCACCTGTCTCTTCCTCCTGCTCGGGAGACCTCTCCCCTTCACTCTCACTACAGCTCCTGCTCCTCGGCCGCTTCCTGGAATGCCGTTCCTCCTCGATGCTGGCGGGGGAGGCAGGCGAGCCCGTGGCACTGTGGTCCTCGCCGTTCTCCAGGGCTCCATCTGGGCTCCTCTGTAGCTTGACCCCATTCTTGGCCTTCTTGAAGAGGACTGAGGTGCGGCGGCCCACACCACTGAGTGGGGCGCCAGTGGGAGTATCGGAGGCCACGAGGGACAGTCTGTTGATGCCATTATCACTTAGCAGGCACTGCAAGGGCTCACTCCCTAGCTGCATCGGTGACTTTTCCGAAAGGTCATCTTCTTCTGCCTTTCTGGGCTTGAGGAATCGGCTTGGAGGTTTGCTATCATCGATGGGTTTCAGAGTGGGGGGGTCTGGAGGGGATTCTTGCTCAGACAAGGAAGGTGCGGGTCCAGTGGGCTCAAGGGTTGGTGGGGCAGGCAGTTTGGATTCATCTGTTAATGAAAAAGACAACCTGCTTCAACATTTTAGAAAAATGTCTTCCCCTGTCAGCCAGATATTGACTCTAATACCAGCAACTAAAAAGCAGGGGCCTCAAAAGCATCCTAGGTATTGGGTCTGAGGCAAAGAGTATAGAACTCAGTTTTATCAATGCTGGTTTCTTCGCCCCCCCAGGTCTAGTGAAACCAAATCTCTAAAGATGAGGGAGGTTCTTTTGAGAAAATGAAACATTTACCAGATTAAGTCTTATAAAGTAAGGGTTACAAACCATTGACCTTGAAAAAGTCAACTCTGCCTGCTTAATCAAAAATTAGGTTAAGTCTCAGCTTTGTAGATTAGGTCTACAATTCTCAATGGACACAAGTGTTTTCCCATCTGTCAATGTATTTGTTTCTTATCACCCAAATAAAGCAAATATAGGACAAAGAAAGAACAAGTTTACAAGAATGGGGTTGGGGAGGAGGAGACCAAATAAATTAAATCATTGGTTCTCAAACACGTCAGTTCACTGTAGTCTTAAAACTTAAATATTGAGACTTCAAGTGACCATCCAAAAATGGCCTCAGCCAAATCTCTGAGCGGTCAGGCCTGGGAATTTGGCCTAAACCCTGTGAGTGAAGCCGTTGCAGGTGCTGAACTGCCAAAGCCCCGGAGTGAGAACCAGGCATGTGAGGAGTCAGGGACTCAAACGCTCGTAACGCCACATGTGACCTCTGACCTCTGTCCTCTGCTGGCCTAAGTAAAATGGGCCACTCTCTGCAATCTGGGCCCCTAACCTACAGACAGACTTCCAAGCTTCTGAACTGTGTGAAGGACAGGTACTTCCAAGCCAAAACTCAGATACCAGGGCAGGTCTGAGAGAGAAGTCTGTCCTCAGTGAAGGAGGGAGAAGACAAGCAGCTCAAGCCATGAGGCTCCGGGGAGTCTGGGAATCACCTCCTCAGAGTAGGGGATCTGTGCACTTACCCAGCTCAGGAGCCAAGAGCCTTCCGCTTTTACCCCCCCCCCCAAGCACCACCACCCCCTCCCGCCCTTACCACAACTCTCTCTACATGACGGTATAAAGTTAGTGCATGTTTAACTGGCGTGTGTAAATGGTCACATGAGATAAAAATATTTAAGTACTTTCATACTAGCTAAGAAACAGCTGCTGGGCCCCAGCCAACACCTGGGATGGCCAGACAGTCTACATTTACCTCTGAAAGGGCCCTGCTATAAACAGTCAACATTCACTTTCACAAATTCTGTTCTCTACAGATTGTCAAATATTTTGAAAATCATCTCTAGATATGCATGGAACTGTTACTTATGTGCAAGGGTCATACCTGTCCTCAGGGAGGGATGTTCCCTTTATGGGAAATTTCAGCTTAGTCCTTATACCCTTATCTTACTCTCACCCCGCCTCACCCCCTGCCCACCCGTGACTCTCACCTCTGTCCCCATCGTCTTCTGGCTCCTCCTGCGGGGCCTGCTCCAGCACAGCCACATCCCCCTGGGACCCTGCTGGTAAGTCCCCATTGTACACAGTCTTGTTGAGTGATGGCAGCGGTGGTGGTGGTGGCTGTGCCAGCTTCTGTCGAAGGGCATTGATCTCCCGGCGCAGCAGGCGGACACGGCGGGTCCGGGCCCCGCTAGACCGCATGGCACTCACCAGGTCCAGTTTCTCCAGCAGCTCCTTCAGCTGCACCTCTGGGGACAAATGGGCCCGGTTCTCTGGGATGAGGATGTTGTCCACTGCCAGGGAGAAGGGAGGACAGAAGGGGCTGAAGGGACTGCTCAGCCCAAGGCAAGGCAAAAGGGGCCAGATCCTTCGGATGCAAAATATTTTCCTGGAATGCCTGGGCCAGTGGCTTCCAGCAGCATCACTGCGGGGCCCTGACCCTGGCAACACCACTGCCTGGAGGGCAGCCACAGGGGCATGGTCAGAGCTTGGGAAACAGCTGCAGGAAGCAGTTCACAGTCGTGATGACTGGCTCTGCGGAGCAGATACGAGGCAGCTTGGCAATCCCCTGGCCTGAGTGACTATGTAGCTGCTGCCACCGAGCAGCAGAAGGCAGAGGCAGTGAGAATACAGGGCTCAAAGGCAATTCTGGCTTTTCGGGTCCTCTATCTGCACTCTTCTGAATGAGCCGGTCATAACCCAGCCTTGCACTCCACTGCCCCTTGCTCCAATGCCACGGACAGGGGATCCGAGAGAGGAAGACCCTCGGTAAGACTATGGCTTTTAAAACGAACACCTAGTGCCTGCCTACCAATTCCTACTATGTACGAGTACTCAATAAAGTCGTTAAACGTTAACTCTTGGAACTATTCCAGACACAAGCAGGTATATAACAGCCTGCTCCCAAAGTGTACTCTGTTGCCCCAAGGCCCACCCTGACCCTGGATTCTCTGGGCTCTGTTCCTATACCTCCATCTGGCCCCTTGCCTCCCCTCCCATCCAGGCTTCTCACCGTCTTCCCAGGAGAAGCGGTAAAAGTCCTCCAATTTGGGAGACTCGGGCAGGTGGGTGCCCCTCTCTGGGTCATAGCCGATGTTCTCTGCCTGCCGCCGGGCATGCCGAAGAATGGCCCCCCCTAGGTCCCGCAGGCGGACAGCTGCTCGGTGGAAAATTGTGTCTTTAGCATTATACTTCATGCAGTTGGTAACTATAAGGTTAAAGTCCTCCTCAAACTCCTCCAAGGTGCGGTACAGGTGGGATTCCAGCTTCTGCCTCATAGTAGAAAAATCCATTGGCTTGGATATGAATTCCAGGTAATCTGGAACCTAAACATATAAAACCTGTACAATTACAATAACCATTTACTAGCCAAACAGGCACACCCTTCACCGGTACTGTTGCTGCCCCTGGTTGCTGGTTTGGCCATAAGGGGCTCACTCAAGAGTCCCAGGGCCTTCGCCCACCCCCGGCCTGCAGACCCCTTAGATGGACAAATCTTATCATTCCTAGGTTTGTGTATCCTGTGGCTCAAGCCCATCCTGGCCTACTCAGCTCTGTTTTCAGTTTGGGAGGGGCTCACTGGCCAGAAGTTGGGGGCGGAGGGACTTGCCTCACTCAGGTTGACAGGTTCGGCAAAGATGTGCGCAGGGTCCTTTTCTTGCAGCAAGTCCAATGTTGTCCTCAGCAGAACATTGAATGGCATCAGCTCCAGCTCCATGGCAGCCTGCTGGACCTTGACCTGTGGGTGACCCAGGAGAGATCAGGACATTCCCCACAAAGAGTTACCGCTTTCAGTCCTTACTAAATACCAAGCATTTTATGTAATAGAGATGAGTAGGTAAGGTTGATAGAGATGAGAGATTTTTATAAAGTGGAAACTGAGGCAAAGAGATGCTGAATAACTGACCCAAGATAATATAGCAAATAAAGCACAGAGCTGGGGTTCAGTCCCAGGATTCTGGTTACTCAGTGCTCCCATATACTTGTCGCACTGCCTCTGTATATTACCTCAATGATTATAATAACCAAGAAAGAGAAAATGTTACTATCCCCATTTTAGAAATGAAATCTGAGATTTCAAGTGACACGATTCAAAGCGAGGTCAAGGGTTAGCTTAAGGAACACACAGATGATACCATGTACCTTGGCTAGACTTCCTACCTAGTGCTGAAACTGCTCTCACTGGCCCTTGGGGTGCCTGTGTCAGCCTGGCATGGGCAAGGTCTCCAGGCTCACCCTCACAGGCAGGCCTACTGTGATGTAACCAGGACGTAGGCTCATATACTCATAGCAGTCTGCTCCACAAATGTTGTTTTCTATGTGTACCCTAGAGTCAAGAGGCTAAGACATGGGTTAGAATATGGAAAGTTTCTGCCTCCTGGTTACATCCAAACAGGTGTGCCTGCTTTCTTTTCTCTTTCACTTCCCTGAATCAAAGACAAAAAGAAAGGTCTAACCGGGACCAGGCCTGGGACGATGACACCCAATCTATATGCATGGAGAAGGCCCTGAGACGTCCTCTATGGTCACCCAAGCTTAGCATAGCAAGAGTTGCCCAGCTCAAAGGTAGAAACTCAAGCTCCAGACTTGCTAGCTAAGAGTCTGTGCTGGGGGTGAACAGTCATGTGGAGTCTGGAGAAAGTAAGAAAGCTCTTTAACCCAGGCCAGTGAAGGATGTGAGTTAACAGTCGCTATTCCTTGACGAGAGACAACAATATTGGCTTATCATCCATCCAGCAGCATTTGCTCTCTGCCATGTGCAGAGTGCTATCATAAACATTCCAAGTAAGTAGCAACAATAACAAAAGATTAATGATAATACTAGCTGATACTGCTACAGCCCCTACTATGTGTCAAGACTAACTCATCGACTCTTCACAACATGAGCTAGGTTCTCATTACCCCCATTTCACAATAGCAGAACCTGTGGTATAGGGCAATTAAGCAACTTATTCAAGGTCACATAAACAGTAAGTGGCAAGAGTGAGAATTTAAACTAGAAGTCTAGTACCATAACTCATATTTCTAGCCTCTCTGCTGTATTACCTCAACATTCCCTATGTTCAGGAGCTTAAAATCTTCTTGAACACAGATAAGAAAATTTACATGATTCAAGACCTGAAGTGTTTAAAGGACAAGTGAAAATCCTCCAAAGTTCCCAGGACAGCTTTCAGAACGGCCTGTGTTTTGTAAATTACTCAAGGTCAGACTCCCCCTGAGATTTCCTCAATCAGAAACTCCAGACATGGATCCACTCAGTAACCTTATGCTGAGGATGCTAATGAGCCCCAAAGGTTCACGACATGACACCCCATGCAGAGGAGGCAGACCTTGAGCCCTCAGCACGGGCAGGAATGGGAGGGAGAAAGCTGACACCTGGCAGGGACTCCCAGGTCCCCCAGGAGAAAAAGATCTTAAGAGCCCTGGGGTTCCTCCCTACCTGTTCCCTCTTGAGTTTCTCTCTCTTCCGAATCAGCTCAATCAGCAGCCGTGCCCGCTCCAGGTCATGCCGGAGCTTCTGCCAATATTTCAGCTCTTCCTTCACCGCGCTCGTCTTCTCATCCTGCTCTCGCTGCAGAAGGGAAAGGAAAGGAAAAGAGAAGCAGGGAGCCTCCTGCTTCTTTCCCTGCTCAGCTTCACAGGACCTTGGCAGGTGAGGGCCCATCCCCTGCCTTGACCGGAGTCCCCCAAAGCCCTTCCTTCCAGCCGCCCACCAACCCATGCCGCCCTCCCCCCGCTTTATGACAATGTCACTTCACTGCAGCACAACCACCACTGCTGGGGTGCGGCCTGGAACTGCTTCTCCTACACTGGGGACACCAGAGAGCAGCTGTGCCCCTCAGGGCTGGAAAGAATTTCAGAAGGAAACTAACAGACACCTCAGGGGTGGAAAGAATTTCACCCTCCCGTTTCAACTTGGCTAGAAGACAAAGTGGTGTTTTTTACAAACTGGTACTAACGGACCAGAAAATAATTCGGCAAAGCACCATTACCAACACTAAAAACATGACCTCTATGCCTAGAGTAGGCTACAGTATAGCTGGGGGAGAGAAAAGGCCTAGGGTTTGATATGCAAAGGCATAGTAGTATAAAAACAAAATCTGATTGTACAAACTGAATATAAACTACTGAGACTATAAAACAAGAGGACCTGAGTGGGCCAAAGTTAGAACATGAAAGGTGTCCTGGGGGAAGCAATCTTACTGGGGCTTCACAGGGAGTGGTGGGCATGGATGAACAAGGTGGTGAGGCCTCTTGTAGAGCCAAAAGTTCCACCAAGCAGAAGTGTAGACAGAGAATGAATGATTCTTTGGTTGATGAGAAAAATATGCTCACCGGAGCAGAGAAGTCAGAGAATCGCAAAGGCCCAGGAAGACCCAGGATCCAGTTGCTAAGAAGTCTCAAAAGCCAGGCAAAAGAGCCTGGAAATGGCCTTCCCAAGTAGGGGAGCACAGATTCTGGGAAAGAAGTGACGGACTAGAAGATGATGTATGAATAAGCTGCCACCAGCTGTAGAGCAAAGACAAAATCAGAATCCCGAGAGACCATCCAGAAAGCTATTACTGAAATTAAGGGGATGGGTGAGCAGGGAGGCTGCAGAATGGAAACAGGAGGCAGCTGACTGATAAAACCCCAAACAGCTTACAAACTACTCACTGCGGTCCATCACAGAGGGAATCAAAGTGGGGACATCTAGGATGAGGAGGGAAAAGGTTCCATGACAATGATGGGCAAGTACGTTTACTGAGGGGAAGATGATGAATTTGGTTTCCAGTATCTTTGGTAACAGAAAACAACATCCACACAGATGTCTGCATTTCCTCTGCCTCAGATGGGGACAAGCAGAGAAACGGGAATTGCTACCATACAAGTTCGAGTCTGCAACTAGAAGTAGACAAGCTCTCCAAACAAAGAGGCAGGGAATCAAGTCCCAGGAATGTTAAAATCAAGAAGTAAGAAGCAGGATCTGCATGAGATACAAAGTAGGTGCTGGGAGCAGAAATTATATCAAAGAGAGGCTCTCTCAGATGAGGTGATCTGTGACATCAAATGCAGCCCAAGTCTGCCTGGTGAGAATCAGAGGAAAGACTTGCTGGGCTATGAGAGGGTCACGGACGTTTTAGCGAAGGTGTCACGGGAGCAGGTGGCACATTTTGAGGCGGACTGGATATTGATCTGTGCTTCAGAGACCCGAGTTACAAAATGCAAAAGTGAAATCAAACAGAACGCCAAGGCACGGAAGTGACATAAAGGCTTGCTTCATCTCTGGAGTAGTGATGTGGGACTATTTAGAGACAGAAGTAATGGAACAAGTAAACGAGGGAGAGAGAATTGAAGATGTTTGCAAAAAGGTCTCTCAGGAAGTCACCACCATCTCAGAAAATACTAAGTGTGAAGCAAGTCCAGTTGTTAATGGCTACAGGTCACCCCAACTGGGCAGGCTGTATGCTACAACTGAGGTGGAAATATGTGTATTTACTACAAATCAATTGTTGGCAGAGGGCAGTGTAGTGTGTTGAGCCAATACGTGTTTTCCTAATTCATACAATGTGGCTGCCCTGGCTCTTACTCAGCTCCCTTCTTCCTCTCCACCACGTCTATAGGGCTTTCCCCACACAGATGGAGAGCCGGGCTTGCGCTCCACTCTCCCCTCGCATCTGCTCCAAAGCCAAGTCTCTCCCACCAGAGATGCTCTGGCACAAAGGGTTGCACGGTGCTGGAGGTGTTCTTGGGATAGATGCCCTAGAAAGGTGACTGGCTGTGGGCAAAGGCGTCAGGGAGGGTACCCCAACCAACACTCTCCACCGCCCTCCTCTGTCTGCCTGGTGCTCAGCCAGCATGCCTTCAAATCACCACTTCACCTACCTGCTCGGCATTTCTTTGGGACTGCAGGTGGGAGTGCAGGCGCCTGATGAGGGGGACGCCATTCCGTGCCTGCCGCTTCAACAGCCAGTAGTTGTGAAGCCGCTGCATGAACTGGTTTTTCCTCTGAAAGGAGAGACCACTACAGATCTTGTTCAACCTTGAGTAGAGGCACAAGGATTGAAAGACAGGGTCAGTGGGCGGCACAGATCACAGGCTGTGCATCCTATCTAGACCCTGGTTCATTTCTGAACCTAACAGAAGAACAAAGAACAAAGTGGCTAAATGCTTCTTCACCTCAGAGAAAGGCTGGAAAAGGATAGCAAAGTTAAGCAGCTCGGACTCAGATTCAGCATGAGTTTTTTTACTTGATTTCCCATCTCCTGCCTTGTAGCCCTCATCCTCCAAAAGAACCCTCTCCCAGAAACTCTGTACCCTGTATGACTGTGGACTCCTGAGAAATAGGCCTGAGCTCCACACCCTACCCTTGTCTTGATAAAGGTAGCAAAAAGGAACAGGAACTTGAGTAAGCTATGGGCAATATGGCATAACTTCCTGCCGCCTGAGGATGAAGGTCCCACCAGAGCAGGGAGTAGTCCACAGCCAAACCAGAAGGACAGCCAGCAGGAATACAACAGGTTACTACTTTTGAGTTCAAATGCAACCTCTTGGAGTCCCTTGGCTTCTTATTTTTCATTCAAATCTCGGTAGCCTAAAATGTCTATATTGCCTCAAAAAAAAAAAAAAAAAGTTTCTAAAGATGTAGGAGAATGGAGACTCTGAATACTTAGCTGATACGTAGTCTTAGTAATCTCAAGGTTGAAGCCAATACCATGGGGGGCAGGGGGAAAGAAAGGGTAAGAAGAGAATTAATAAAATCTCTATTCTAATGCCCACACTGCAAGGCGACGAACATTCCCAAGTTACAAAAGATGGAAAGGCAGTTTAGGAATAGAGGTTGAGTTAACTGTCAAAGTCAGCTAAGAAGATGGTGGAGGTGGGTGGGATTCGAATGCATGATCTCTCATCTCTACCATGCTGCGCCCTCAGACTGGTTATCCACAAGGTAAGCGAGGCCCCAGTGCTCCTGTGTGTGGCCTCCGTTTTTACTCTTCACCTCACTCCAGTGAGAACAAGATAAAAGTAGCTGAACGAGAAAGTAGAACTACGAAGACTGGGCATGTTGACCTGGACATTGCTCACCTAGGCCTTGCTCCTTCCCATAGTCAGACATTCCTGCCCCGAAGCCAAGCTTACAAAATCAAAGCCTAGGCCTTTCCCCAAAGGATAGGTCCCCCACCAATGCCCATGCCAAGCATTCCTGCCCAGACGCAGGCAGCCCCCTCCCTCTACAACTGTGTGACCATGGAGGGACCAACAGCATTTATGCAGGTACGGAAAAGAATAACAATAAAACAGCAGCAGCAGCAGTAGCCACCATTTATTGAGCGCTTACTATTTACCAGGCACTGTGCTAAGTGCTTTAATTCCATTACCTCATTTACTCCCCTCAACCCGTCTGGTAGGTTCATTTACAAATAAGATAAAGCTTAAAGAAGGGAAGTGACTTGCCAAAGGTCACACAGGTAGTGAAGACAGAGGCAGGATCCAGTGGCAGATCTGTCTGGGTCTCAGACAGCATGTTAAATTGGCTCCTGCACAAGGCATCTATAAGGACAGATGTAACCACCAAAAAGTCTAGCCATGGGGAATAAACAACCTACAGACGGGGTCTGAACATCAATCCACTCACTTCAGGGAAGGTAGCCTAGAACAATTCTGGCTAGAAGACGTTTTTCCAGTAGACTGCATTTAACTCAGGACCATGGCTCCCAGGAAGAAGCTCGCCCTCCTGATCTTCTCTGCTCAGTGTCTCCTTCACAACCTGAGGAATCTAGTTACCTATCCCCCTCACAAGACATACTACCCACTAGTCTCTAGTACTCTTTTCCCTCTATCCTCCTCATAAAGAGAAACGGGCAGCAGGAACAGGACCTAGAGGCATCATAAGCCCCAGATGTGGTCCCAGACCTGTCACTTTTGACTTGCTCCTAAGCCCTTAGAACAGGACTTGGCATATAGTAAGTGCTCAATAAACATTTTGTTTAATAAATAAAGGAGTGAAAAACTTTACCTCCCGTGGTCGCGGTTTCTTCATCTGGGGGTGTGGGAGAAGGTGCAAGGACTACATTAGATGAATAATCTCCAAGATTCCTTCTTGTTCTAACACTGTATGCTTCTTAATGAACATAACTCTTAAGCTAAATCTCTGTTGAACAGTCTTCCCTGACTCCTGCTTCTCTGACAACTTCCATCCCTCCAACAGTTCCAACTACCTTTCTGATGGCTTAAAACAGGTACAGTGATTCCTCAGTCTCGGTGGGAGTCAGAGTGGCTTAGTTACAAATGTGAACTGAGTGAGCCTCTTTCAGCAAGTCGAAAAGCTTCTCAGGAGGAGGAAAAGCTTGTCTTTCCCATACCACAACACCTTTACATAAATCCCCATTATCCCCAGAACAGTGCTTTTTGGACGGTTTCTTGGAGTTTCAAGGAGTTTGGGCACCAACTCCTTGATACTGTGATTCTCACTGGAAGTAGTATGGGGCTTGGAGATATGTGTGGGAACGTATGAGGTTGTTGCAGAGACCAGGCAATAAGGGACAGGGATATATGACTGGCTCTTACAAAGTCCAGGGGCACTACGCATTAAGAGACATGGGGCAGGCCTAACAGAGACGTATCCTATCCCTGCTGAAAAATACTGCCTTGGACATCCTGTCACCTGGGTTTCTAAGCAGCTTAAGTGTTTATCTCACCTTGAACCAAACGAAATACATTGCACTGAAGGCACAATCAAACCATAAACCAGGCCAGGCAAGCCCAGTACAGAGGAGAAGTCTAAATTTGAGGGCACAGAAGACAACAGACATTCGCTAACCATGACTGGGGAAGAAGGCCTGGCGCAGGGCCAACTCCAGCCCAAGAAGCTGTGTCCCTGGGGAGCCCTTCTGGTCAGGCTCACCTGTAAGAAGGAATCTGTGGGACAGTGACCATAGGGACAGTGAAGGGTGTGTCTCGGCCCAGTTCCTCCGGCTCCTTCTTGATCTTTTGCTTCAAAGTCACCTTGTTCTTCTTGGATACTCCCTTATGCAGACCACCTGACCCGCCCTGGGCTTCATCTTCATCCTCCTCTTCCACCTCTTCCTTCTCTTCCTCCTCCCCACAACCTTCCTTCAGTCCTTCCTCATCTCCAGCCTCACTCAGGCTTCTGGGGGAGTCACCCTTCCGCCGAGCAGGGGCAGCACTGGGTGGCGAGTGGGCCTCACAATAGGCAGTCTTGCGCACTGTGAAGATGGTGCCGTTGAGGCTGGTCTCACGCATGGGCTCGATTTTCATGAAGAGGCCAGCCCGCTGTGCACATGTTACGTGGAAAGCCGTGTAGCAGTTCACCTTATGGCACTGGATGGCTGCACCCAGTCCCTTCTGCTTGCAGATATAGCAGGTTAGTTTCCAGCGGGCAGGTGGGATGTTGTCAATGCCCTCAATGGGCTCCAGGAACACGGTGTTAGCGAAGCAAACTTCAGGGATCCAGATGGCACACACCACATGGGCCCAGTGCCCATCACTGGTCTGTTTGAATGCACCACCCTTGTTGGGACAAAGGACACAATCCACAGGCCGGGAGGGAGACTGCAGGCAGCAGCGGCACAGCCACTGACCCTCAGGGATGTAGGGGACACCGTAGCACTCCTGGTGAACAGCCAGGTTGCAGATGTCGCAGAAAAGAATGACATTGCTGTTGTGGCATTCATCGTCCAGACACACGCAACAGAAGGCATCTTCATCAATGAGTGACTGCTGGGCCCCACTGCTACGACTCTCCAAGTATGACTCCTTCTCCAGTCTGTCCACCAGCAGCTCAAAAGTGTCTGCCGACACCAAGCTGTGCCCATCTACCCGCCGCTTCTCATTAACCATATCCAGCCAGGCCAGGTCTTCCTCGTCCATGTCATACTCTACCTCTGCATCCAGGTCTTCAGGTGGCTTCTCAATGTAGCGGTAGTAGGCAGCAGGCAGCGGAGGGGCTTCTGGCTGGCTGCCTGAGTCCACCATGCGGAAGCTGGGCTGTGGGAGGTGGAAGGAAGTGCCGGATGCATGCTTGGAGCAGGAGTCCTTCTTCTTGCCCTTGCACGAGGGCTTTTTGGACTTGACGGGGAACTGCGGCTGCTCGCTGTTTTCCTTGTTACTGTTGCATTCGGTGATATCCTGTGCCGTCAGCTCATCCTCTGTGATGATCTTCAGCGGGTCGTAGATGCTGATACGATGCAGGCGTCCATCAATGTCCACCTCCACGATCCGTTGGGCCTGGGCGTATGTCAGGGTCTCCCGGGTGGGTGAGCACTTCAGACTGTATGGGGATGGGGAACGCCGGCTCTCGGCATTCTGCCGCGACTTCTGGCGCGGCTTCCTCATGGCACCTGGGAACCAAGGGGACAGGCCTAAGGAGAGAAGGCCAAGAGACCATGAGTTAGATGTTCAGGCATGCATGCATTTAGCCACCCTTCCATCTGACTGAACGACCACTGAGAGGACTGGCTGTTCCCCGGGGCTGCACTTCTTGCCCTTCAGATTCCAAGTGGCTGACTCCTTAATCTTCTTTTAAGTCTTCCCACAAATCTTCTCAAGATTCTTGACCATTCTACCTACAACTGCAAGTCCCTTCCCCCCACCAGTATTTTCCTTTTGCTTTATTTTTCACTGTAACATGTACCATCTTTTACTGTGCTATATAATTTACCTAGTTATCATGTATAGTCACGCACGGCTTAACAATGGGGACACATTCCGAGAAATGTGACAAATGATGTTATCAAGAGACACAGTAAATATGTATGAGGCTGCTACCAGCATGAAGAAACTATGATTCTGGGTAATGAGAGTGTTGCTAAGCAATCAGAATTTGGGGACCAGTGTATGTACATACAGCCCTGCACTAAGAGGCACATCAGTGTACGGCACATGACTGTGTTGTTTGTTTCCTTTCACTAGAGTATACGCTCCATGAGGAAAGGAATTTTTGCCAGTCCTATATTCAATGCTGTATTCCCTGGCTCCTAATGAGAGGAGAAATCAGACTCTCGTGATTCTTGCCCTCAAAGAGCTGACTGATAAGAAAAGAGAGGATTATAATTTGACATGGGGAGAGAATTAACATTCTCATGATGTACATGAAGCTGCATGACAGCTAACTATGAAAAAGGAGGTGACTAAGGCTTCAATAAAGGAAATAAGAATAGCATCTCAAGCTCTGTTCATGAACAGTGGCCCCCATCAAATGTTCAAAAATTCATAGATCTAACCTACACTCCGATGTTTATTGATGCTTTATTTACAATAAGAAAGACATGGAATCAACACAAATGCCCAAAACAAAAGTAGATGACTGGATTAAAAAAATGTGGTACATATACACAGTGGAATATTACTCAGCAATCAAAAAAGAGAAACACATGTCTTTTGCAGCAACATGGATGGAGCTGGAAGGGATCATGCTTAGTGAAATAGGCCAGAAAGAAAAAGAAAAATACTGGATGGTCTCACTCTTAGCAGGAGTATTGAGGGCCGGGGGCAGGGGAGGGGGATGATAATGAACAACTATATACCAGAGACATTTTACAGGGGTGACATGGGAATGGTATCAAAATGGTAGGAGGAGGGAAGTGCACAGGACTATAGTGATGGCACATGGGTGATTTGGTGATGGGAAGCCCATGGGGACTACAACTGAGATGGAAAAATACACAAAATGATGTAAAAATAAACTATTAGATTATTTTTTAAAAATATATAGGTCTGGCACCCTTTTCCCATCATGTCACCAGGCTCTGAACCTCCGTGCCCCCATACTCTAACCATGTCTAGAAATGTCTATGATGAGCGGTCTAAGGACTTAAATAAACAGTATGCAGGGTTTTCTCTGCAAAAGACAACATGGCTAGCTCATCTGAAGCAGAAACCCTGGAAGCTCTGGGAGTGGGCCATATCAGCGGAGACTCTCAGAGGACCTAAGGGCAAGGTGACGGGGCAATCTCCCCTGGTAAACTCTCAGTTCACTATTATTTAGAAGTCCCTCACTCCACAAATACTTACATCCAGTCCTAACCTTGTACAGCAAAGAGAAAATTCTAAAGTTTCCTACACCATTCTCTGGATGGAGGGAACTGTGACAAGCTCAAAAGGAAAAATGGTAAACGGTCACTGAGGACATCATGGCCAGGAAAAAACTTTTGGGGGTATGGTGTCCTCAGTGATGGGCAGGGGACTTGGGAAGGGTATGCAGGGAGAAGATCTCAAAGAGAAAAACAGAATTGGACACATTGGTTGCAGGATCTATGATCCTTATAAAGTGGAGAGGGCAATGATAATTTGGTAATTTTTACAAATTACAAAGCTCTTTTACTTTCAATACTTCACAACTTGTTGAGAAAAATAGGTAGTATCATAGGCTCCATTTTACAGGTGAAGAAACAGAAGTTCAGGAAGGTATCCCTCAATGCAAAGCTAGTAAGTGACAAAGTCCACAGTTCAAAACCAGAGCTTCTAAATGGGCGACACTCATCTCACTAAGAAGTAAGAACACCAGAGATGCCTCATCTGGCAGCAAAACAAGCTCGAGGCAATCTAGGTTCTTATCTTCATCCCCAGGGACCTGGCGGAAGTCATTTAATGTTTCCATATTCTATGAGTAACAGGAAGTTGGTCTACTTTTTAAAAGTGTAGCCATTTGTTAACAAGGTGTAATTAACAACCTTATTTAAGAGTTTGCCAAAGTAAGACGGAAACAAACAAAAGCAGCACATACACCCCATTGGAAGCTAAAGAAAACAGCATCCTCCAGCAGAGCAGTCAGGATTCTGAGGCTCCTGAACCCCACAAGGTCTCACAACTGCCAACTACCTGGGGGGCAGCGCGGGCCGGATCAACCTTCTTTATTATCCCCACTCCTTCAAGGGCATGGAGACGCTAGCCGGGTGTGAGCATTTACCTCAAAGCTAACTATAAACAGTTTTGCGGGTGCCTCGCCTTTGGTGAGTATTTTCTCCTACCTGCCACCTGCTCAGGTAACCCTCAAACTAGGCTCTTCAGTCCTACCCTCCAAAAATTCCCAAGCAGAGATAGGGGAGGAGATGCCCCCTACACCTTCCCCACCCACCCACAAACTCCAGAGAGTAAGGAGCTAATTCAGGGAAAAATAAATTTCGCCCACAAGACGCTTACAGTCTAGATTTTTGGCGGGAGTTTCTCTTCCCACACGGCCCTTTCCACAAACACCTCCAAATCTCTCCAGCACCCCCTGAGGTCTTCTAGCACTCCGTGGACCCCCACTCGCCCGCCCCACCGAGATCCCCTAAGAATGAGGGGATGCTGCAATTTGACTGTACCCCGCTGCACCGCACACCAGATACTCAGGAGACAAGGGGGGACCCCAACCAAGGCTTCTGCCCCTTTAAAGGGGCGCCTCTTCCAGAAGAATCTCGACCCTTCGGAAGGAGAAACGAAGGAAATAACATCTCCCCAGAGGGGAGGGGGCGAGCGAGCCAGAGACCGACTGACGCGGAGTCCGATCCTCAGACACAGAAAGCGGGCGCCAGAGAACGAGCGGGGAAGAGGCGAGCACCCATTGGCCGCTGCACTTGCCCGTCAGGAGGAACCGGGGGCCCTAGGGACGCTCAGGGGGTGGAACTCGCCTCCGGCCTGGCCAATTGGAAAGCGTGGCGGGGGCGGGGCTCGGCGGCTCGGCTTCCAGGGCCGGGGGGAGACAAGATGGCGGCTGCGGGAGGGGGTCCTCGCTTTTCAGCTCCCCCCCTCGCCCGCCTTCTCCTTCCCCGCCGCCGCCCTAGCTCCAGGGGAGAGCGTTCGCGCCGCCACCGCCCGATCGGGAAGCCCCCTCGCTTTCTTCCCCCCACCTCCCGCGCAGTCCCCTGGTCCCCG